TTTAGCAAATGGCTGCAATATAACAGAGTGAAAAATTGAAGGGGGTCTGAATACTTTCCGTACCCACTGTATGTCACGACAAAAAAGTATGTATTTTTTAATTTTAAGTAAAAAAAAAAAGTAATTATTGGTTAGCATTTATCATTATTATTGCATGTAAGTGTTGGGGTGGGCAAACGATGCAATTCATTCTGGGGTAATCTTAATGTTTAAGTAGTAATACTTAAATTTTTTGAGTATAAAATCAAGTGTTCTCCAAAGGCGAGATCTTCGAGCAGCTGCCTGACATATCCTTTGTGCCGATATTGCAAACGCTGAGGAAAACCATACTAGGTTGTTGAGTTAGTGATGCTATGAGGTGTTAGTGCACCTGTCTCTCTTTTTTATTATTATTATAGCCGAACTTATAGTTACATAAAAGATCAGGGAAAGATGGTTGTATCTAACAATGAACAATCATAATGGCATATATTATATTAGTGTTATATTGCATCACTACTGTGTTATTCCTATGTATGTTTGTACTTTCTTCTGCACTGCAAATTCCTTGTGTGTGTAAACATACTTGGTAATAAAGCTATTCTGATTCTGATAAAACGGTTTAAACAAATTCATGTGTTCATCATAGTATGAGAATATACACAGAAAAAAAGCACAGTGACAAGGTTAAATATCTTTGAATAATTCATCATGATGCTTTTTTTTAGAAGCCCGAGGGATGAAACGAGTTAAATTCAACAAGAAAAAGAATAAAACAAAGGAGATTTAAGCCACTTTTGCTTGTGGATAAAACATTTTGCACAAAATAATTAACAAAATATTCAAGAGATAACGATTTTGGGTTTTTGTAATAAATAAAAAAAAAAATGCTTTAAGGATAAAACTGTGGATCACACATTCGTGGAGTTAAAAATATAACAACTTAAATCAACCCAAAATGTATTGCTATACTACAATCACAAAAAAGGGCAGCTGTTTCTTCAACAAGACCACAAAATGGGCAAGTTTCATCATTATCAAGATACTTACAGATAGATGAATTAAACCTGTCACTCATATCTTTTAAGTTGTTGCGCTTGTTATAACGTCCTAGGTCACATGATAACGTCAACATAGCGGATGATATCCGAATCGCATTCATACTTAACGCATTCAGGCTGTACTCTCATAGCGCTCGGTAAGTAAGTACTTAAAGAAATTAAGTGCCTATAATTTAGAAAGTATGCGGTTTCGAACGCAGCCCGACAACATCTCGTTTTGACATGATGACATCTCGCGTGGTTCTGTGTGATTTGGACAACTTCAAGTTACGCCCCCTTCAAATTACGCCCCTCTCTTGCAGTCCGCAGACAGACCCTTCTCTTGCCAGCAACGCCACTGAGCGCAGATTTGACGCTGTAGTGGACCGGACGCGAGCGGCGCGACGCGACAAAATAGTGTAGCATATTCAAAATGTTGTTGTATTGTAGATAACAA